CGAGGAAGCTCCGTGTTTTTAGGAGCCGTTTGTGAAAAGCTCCGATAAGACGTGAGAGGAGAGAGGGAACAGAGACGGAGAGAGCGCGGAGAAAAAGGAGGAAAAAGAAAGAATAACTCACAGATACTGTATTTACAGAACATTTAAAGCTGCACTGAGGAACTTTTCTGCTGGAGGGTCCATGCTTATGTATAAATAGTGCAAATCCAAATTTCCTGATTTTCTGTATTTTGTTTTTCTTACTTTCTTCTTTCTTTTACTGTTGCTCAAAATTAAATGACTCTGAGGTGCAGCTGGCAGATCTAGTTAAAGATGCACTGTGTAACTTTCCTGGTGGAGGGTCCAACCCCTGCTTGTCTCCATGGTGATGTTATTGTTTTATGTTTTGTCTGGGTTGTTCCAGTGTGGCATTATCTTGTATTTACTCAATAATATGATGTGGTGAAGCTGGTCAAAGCAGGAGGCAGATGCAAGAAAAAAAAGTGTCTTTAACCCAGACAACATTTATTTAAAAACAGACTTCTGGTGTCGGCTCAAATAAACAGTGTTGGGAAGGTGACTTTTAAAATGTAATCCCCTACAGATTACAGATTACATACACCAAAATGTAGTTTGTAACATCCATTAATAATCCATTAAATTATTTAAAGTGAGTAATGTAATCTGAATACTTTGGATTACTTGATTTGCTGTAGAGAAACAAAGACCAGAATATCTTCACATAAGAAGTTTTATCTGATAAAAGAAAATTAAAAAGTCCAGATTTTACTGAACCAAATTAAAAATATTATTGATAGAAGAAGAAACACGTCCACACAGGAGGATTTAGTCCTGTTAAATCCTGTTTTAGACCGGGTTTAGTCCTGGTTTTAGACCTGGTTTAGACCTGGTTTAGACCAGGTTCAGAACTGGTTTGGACCAGGGTTTAAACCTTGTTTGGACCTGATTTTAGACCTGGTTTAATTTCTGGCAATGAGTGGAATATACCAAAATGTGAAAACAGGAAAATCCCCCCCTGTAATCTATTTATTTCAACAAAGTAACTGTAATCCAATTACCACTCACTGAAACAGTAACTGTAACTGAATACAGTTACTCATAATTTGTACTCTGATTACGTAACTCCAGTACTTGTAATCTGTTACTCCCCAACACTGCAAATAAAGTAAAAAAACTGAAAATAAGTGACTCAAATCAACAAACACCAAACACCTGCACAGAAGTCTCTCCCAAACTGATGACGCCTGCTTTGCTTTTACACCCGCCCAGCAGGAAGCCCCTCCCCCAGCAGGAAGCCCCTCCCCCAGCAGGAAGCCCCTCCCCCAGCAGGAAGTCCTCCCCCAGCAGGAAGCCCCTCCCCCAGCAGGAAGTCCCTCCCCCAGGTGAGTCCAGGTAACTCCCAAAGCAAAGCACGTCCCCTTTCAAAATAAATATGTTTAACATAAACTAACGTGAATTTCAAATGAGACAAAGGCTCCACTTTGTCACATTTGGGTTTTTTATTGACCTAAAAATTTGAATTCTTACTGTGAGCGGGCTCGCCTCTCCACAGATCCGACATGTAACTTGGTCCTGTGGTCTCCTGCTGTCTCCGTACAGATCAAATTTTTAGATTTTAAACCATTCTGTCTTCACGGAGACCAAACCAGACCACCAGAAGTTACAGGTCAGATCTGTGGAGAGGCAGAGTGCCTGTTTTCTGTGTATTTTTGAGCCATAAAACCTGCACCTGTAACTGAATAAATGTAAAGTGGAGCAGATTAAAGTCACACTGTGGAACATTCTAGACAGAGCAACGACGTCTCCATAGAAACAAGTAAGATTTTAACCATATTACAGCATTTTCTGATCTGTTCTAATGTACAGCAACAAAAACTGGAGGGTTAAAATTTCAGGGTGAAATATTTCAGAGTTGTTTTTAACACAAAAAGTGTAAAATTTTAACTGTTTGAAAGTTAAATGTGTGTTGGAGTTGGAGTTATTTGTCAGAGTTGATTTGGTTGAAGTTAATTTAACTTCTCTTAGTGTTAATTTGTCTCCTCCACTTCAAACTCCCGTGAGAGAAGAACCAGTTTGAACTAGTTTTGTTCATAATTTCATCTTAAATTAACTCAAATAAAGAGTTAAAATAAAACTTCTCTGTGTGTTGTTTAGTTAAATCAGGATAACTCTACAAAGTGTTATCTGTTTACTCTCTAAACGTTAATGTAACTCTGGATTTTGGGTTAAACAAAAACTTTGGTCCAGTGTTACTTAATTTAACACTTTTAAATTAACTCTAGAACAGATCAGATTCAAATCAACTCTGAGAAAGTTTTAAATTGATTCTGTCAGAGTCGATTTTAACTCTTCACTTTTTGTTGTTGTGTTTCCTCGTCACACTCAGACCTGGAGTTGTGTTTCTTTTCATTCACATGTTTAACACACAAGTTCTTCTCTCAAACTGAAAACACTCTGCACCACCTCGTGATGTCATCATGTGGTAACACAGAAAGAAAGAGCTCCACTGTGTTTTTAAACTCCACACAAACACAAACACACTTCACTAGAATCATTTTTGATTATTTTTTCAGCCCTGGAATTACCGATTTCTACTGAACTAAAGGGTAAAAAAAAGGAGCTGTTCATTTGAAAACCACCACTTCACTTCATGACATCACAAATTGGAACAGAGCGTTTTGAGGTTTGTAGATGTAAACAGACGAATAATAAATTGTTTCTCAAACACGTGAAGGAAACAAAACACAAACTCCAGATCTGATTTTGAGGAGGGAAAAACATCAGAACATGACTTAAAGCTTTACAACAGTCAGTTTTTTTTTTAAATCTAGGTCGTTTAACTCGTAATTCCACTTTAAATTTGATTTTTGACACGTTAAACCAGCACTTTTTTTGTTTTTATTTCACTCAAAAAACAAATTTAAACAGAAACAAAAAGAGGCTGCAGTAAAAACAAAGTCAAACGGACAGAACACCTTTCTCCTGTCCATTGTTTTGTGTTACTTATAATGACTGTGTTTTTTTATATTCAAATAATTCACATTAAAAACTGAATTTGTCCGACGAATATGAAACAATGAGGTGCCTCGAAATGTTCCACAGTGTGACTTTAATCAGCTCGAGCCTTTACCTTTACATTTATTCAGTCACAGGTGCAGGATTTATGGCTTAAAAATTGCTAGAAAAACAACACTCTGACTGTGAGCGGAGTCGCCTCTCCACAGATCTGACCTGTCACCCTCCACCGGGAAAGTTACGCAATACAGCTTTAAGTAAAATGTAAAAAAGGGCAGATTTATTGAGTTTATTTTGGCCTCGGTTTTCAAGTACATTTGATTTTAATTTAGCTGAACTAAACCTGTTCTGACATGAAGCGCATTAAAAAAAAAAGCTTTGTCTTGAATTGTTTTGAAATATTCCACAGTGCAGCTTTAACCCTTTATATCTTCAAATCATGGAGACCAAACCAGACACAGTTACAGGTCAGATCTGTGGAGAGGCAACTCTGCTCACAGTCACAATGTCTGTCTATTTTTCTAGGAATTTTTGAGGTTTAGACCTGGTTTAGTCTCTGGTTTAGACTTAGTTTAGTCCTGGTTTAGTCCTGGTTTAGTCTCTGGTTTAGACTTAGTTTAGTCCTGGTTTAGACCTGGTTTAGATCTGGTTTAGTCCTGGGTTAATTCTGGTTTAGTCCTGGTTTAGACTTAGTTTAGTCCTGGTTTAGTCCTGGTTTAGTTCTGGTTTAGACTTAGTTTAGTCCTGGTTTAGTCCTGGTTTAGTCTCTGGTTTAGACTTAGTTTAGTCCTGGTTTAGTCCTGGTTTAGTTCTGGTTTAGTCCTGGTTTAGTCCTGGTTTAGATCTGGTTTAGTCCTAGTTTAGACCTGGTTTAGACATGGTTTAGTCCTGGTTTAGACCTGGTTTAGATCTGGTTTAGTCCTGGTTTAGTCCTGGGTTAATTCTGGTTTAGTCCTGGTTTAGATCTGGTTTAGACTTAGTTTAGTCCTGGTTTAGACCTGGTTTAGATCTGGTTTAGTCCTGGTTTAGTCCTGGGTTAATTCTGGTTTAGTCCTGGTTTAGACCTGGTTTAGACATGGTTTAGTCCTGGTTTAGACCTGGTTTAGACCTGGTTTAGATCTGGTTTAGTCCTGGTTTAGTCCTGGGTTAATTCTGGTTTAGTCCTGGTTTAGATCTGGTTTAGACTTAGTTTAGTCCTGGTTTAGATCTGGTTTAGTCCTAGTTTAGACCTGGTTTAGATCTGGTTTAGTCCTGGGTTAATTCTGGTTTAGTCCTGGTTTAGACCTGGTTTAGACTTAGTTTAGTCCTGGTTTATTGTTGACAGGCCTCCAATAAAAAAGTGACACAGTGCAGCTTTATTGCATGACTATAGAACAGAACTGTCCCTGCAGATTTACACAAAACCACTGATTTGTCCCAGTTTTAAAAAAAAAAAAAGTCCCAGATGTCGTTATTTTTGACAAATCTGATTCTGCCGACTGTAAAAAGAGACAAAAACTGTCACGTGTTTCATTAAAATACAGAAAATCTGCTTAAAATCGACCAAAACACAAAGAAAATGTGACTTTACTGACTCACGGAGCACAGAATGATTTTCCTTAAACACTGTTCCACAATTTTATTTTTACCAACCACAACAAAACCGAGAAAGTCCCAGTTATTTTTTGATTTTGAGTTTCTGCTCACGCTGCTGTTGTTACATGTTAATAAAGCCTTAATTACACTGTGCAAAGTGTAATTAACTGTGTAATTAAGCTCGTGCGCAGACAGAGTAAAGTGAAATCATTTGGAGCTGAAGAGTTGCAAAAGTTTCTTGGAAAAGCAACAAGTTCAAACAAGTTCACGTGAAGTTTAGACACGAGAAACACGCGCGCACTTTCTCCACAAAA